CAGGTCTTAGAACACCTGCCCTCCCGGGAGCAGACGCGGGCATCCTGGCTTATACCCCGCTCGCGTGGATCTTTCTTTCCCAAGTGCCGGCTTGCAGGAGCAAACGCGGCACTACGGGGGCGGAAGCCGCGGGGAAGGGTGGGCCTGAGGCCTGGAACCGCTGCGGAGAGTAAGGCTGGGGACGGTCGTGCCCTCCTCGAGGTTCCTAGCGTAGCAGAGAGGCTGAGGAAGGCGGCCCGGACCGGGACCCACTAAGTTCCCACACTGTTGAGAGGGTCCGCCCCCAAAGGAAACTTCGTTGAGTCGGACAAAACTTAGGAAACTCAGCCACAGTTTGGACCGGTGACGTGATTGTGTTATTTTTTGCTTCCTCCTCGTTTCCAGAAAATGGCTGCATTTCGAGGGTCCTGTGCAGGTATGTGCATAGTCGTTGTTGGCCTCCTCACTTCGTGGCACCCCTCTGGAGCCTGTTTTTCTTTTGTTGTCTGCGTCCCCCGGCCTCTCTGAGCCTGCGGAGTATGGGCGAGGAACTCCGGGGGCAGGGGCGCGGAAACCAACGTTCCCACCTGACCGAGCCCCAACCCTGAGACCCGCATCCCGGAGACCCCTATCTCCTCTGAACCTCTGCGAGGCTGCCGGTTCACTGCGCTGTTTGGAGAAGGAGAGCCGAGAGGCCGCGTACGCAGCTGCTGAGCGCCTAGGCGTGCGCACCACGGTCACTATGGCAGAGGCTGAGCGCATCCCACCCCCTCAGGGGCTCCCCGCGCTCTGACTCAGTGTTCCAGGGAAAGCTGAACTGGCCGTGGACACCCACTAAAAAGCGACTCCACAAGCACGAGCCGTGGAAGCTTGACTCCTCTCTCTACTTGTAGGGGAAATGGGTACACAGTGGAAACCGAGACCCGAAGATCCGAATTGGAAACACCTCCTTCCGAGGTGGAGGGAGAAAAGGCATTCTTTCTCCCGTAAGTGCTCCTGGAGTCGAGCTAAAAGTGCAGGTGTCGCTCCTTCCACCTAAGGACCCTTGTTATTGTTGTTGTTAAGTGTCTTGGAGTCGGTTCCGACCCATAGCAAGGAGCTGCTGATGGGCTTGAACCGCCGACATTGCAGTCCAGTGCATTCACCCGCAGCGCCACACCAGGACCCCTCTTTACTGGGATTGTTTCCTCCAGAGCCCTCTCGCTGCGGTTCCTCATAAGTCCCTTCTTAAATCTGGGGACCCTAGGGCAACGGAAGTAAAGGGTCACTTAGAACAAAGATCGGATGGACCCAGTCAACGACAGCCTCGGTTTCCCTTTCTAAATGTGACTCTTTCCGCTCCTAAAGTTCGGTCACAGGTTGGGGGAGACTGGACCGGGGCTGCGCTATTAGGAGAGTCCCAGATCTTGACCTACCGACCTCCCCTCTCCACACGACGCTTTTCCGGATCAGACCCAAACGGGGACTACGAAAAACACAACCTTCCTAGGTCTGAGGCCTCGGGGAAGACGCAGGGGAAAAGTGTCCCTGGGGTTGGGGGGAAACCGCGAGCCGGACAGACGCCCCCTGGGGCCCTGTCTGCCTGGGAGAGCTCAGGAGAAGCGAAGCTGAGCGTTCCTGAAGCGTTTTCCTGATCTCTGAGGCTCCGTGGTGCCTTAGCCCAAATGCTGGTCCCTGAGGACGACTGAGTGGTGGGAACGGGTATCCATCCGCTGGGAGGACTAGGATCGCACCAATCTGGGCGACTTGGTTGGAAGTATATCCTTAATCTGGGCCTAGGAGCTGTCATCTCC